ACTACCTTCCCAAATGGCTCCAGGAAATTTTCACTATTTTCCACCACTATCTTTCACCTTCTTGCTATTCTGCTGACAACAGTATTTTCTCTCATGCTCAGGAATCTTCTGTCCCCAAATTTTTTAACCCCCAAACTACTTTCCCCTTCTCCTTTTGTCAATGACTCACAAGGTGGAGTACATTTTTACATTTAGTTGACAGATGATCGTATCTAATAAATTATATTCTCTGGCCTGAAACTTCCTTCAGATACTACAAAACATTCACTTTCTAAGGGAGAAATGCTCCCCAAATCTGGTTAAACTAAAATGGTAACTCCCAACTTGCAAGATACCTCATATGATTTCATGTTCAAGTGGTGGATGCTAAGGTAACTTTAAGATTTACTTAGAAGGTAAAGCTCACCAATTGATGAAGGGCAAAGGGTGAGGAAGCATAGGGACGTGATGTGTCAAAAACCGTTCTAAACCATGTAGTTGCGTAATGACAAGGCTGAGGTAAGCTATACCTTTGACCCACCTTGTTCTTTTATTATACCTAAGATTGTGTTGGTTTCAACAGCTTACCTGAGGTATATTTCTACTCTTCTAACTCTCACCATATTAGTTTGAAAGGACAGATTAAATGTTCAGGTTAGCTTATCAAGTAAAAACCACAGTACACAAGGCATATCCATGAACAGATTTATAAGAAACAACACAAGTAGACCAATCAAGCACCTAGTTGCTCCTGTTCAGTTAACAAAAATAATTACCCTCCCCAGGTAGGAATTGTTATAAAATAACACTGACTTAAGAAAACAGAAAGAAATACATGGCAGCAATCCAATTTAAATGCTTTAAAAATCTTACATAATCTATAAGATGCACATAGCACAGAAGAAAGTAGTAGCAGAGGAAAGTAAGGAAAATACACATACTCTGATTTTCCAATAAATTAACACATGGAAGCAGTACCTACTAAAAGAACAGTATACAGGTAAAATCTGGCAAAGATTTAAAGTTTGTTAAAGTGAAATTACACAATTAAGCACCATGACAAAAAAATAAACACAAAAGTATAATATGAATCTCATACTGTAGGTTACTTCTGCTAAGCTCTAGGCCTGAACTACTCATTAAAAAGCACACAGGATGTATATTTTATCCCCAACTGCTAATAATGTCAGGAACTAATCTGAGCCTCTTAGGACATTTATCATTCAGCTTCATGGTGCTTATCCTTTTTCGCCAGAATTAAGGTGATAACAAATCAAGGACCATTCCCATGACAGTGGTTGGACTCTTGATCATCTCTTATTTGGAGAAACATACACCTGAAAACGGATTTGAAGATTTCTTGAACCAAACTGGTATCCATCCTGTGGAATGTGAAGCACCAAGATGGGACTACAGGTTTAATTTTAAACAATCACATAAACATTAAAATACACAGTACAGAAACGCACAGCATTACCACTGTTCATTCAATACCAATTCAAAGTTTCACTCTGAGAGGCATAACCCCTGCTCCACTAGTGAAATGGCTTGAGAAGCAGAATATCAGTAATAAAATGATTCTTAAATCAACTACTGCCATGACGTGCATTACTACTCAGTTTCTGGCACATAGTAGGCACGCCTATTGTGAATGAATGAATCACTGATCAGCCTTAAGCATGTTACTCAACTATTCTGCATATTTTAAACTTTCTATATATAAAAATTGGCTTTCTCTGGCCTAAGTTTCTCAACTTGTCTGAAACTCTAACATTGACACAACCAGTAAAAAGATGCTTCCATTTCACGTAAAAGTCACAAAGACAGAGAAGTTATATATCATGATCCCCACGTTGAGGCTCATTTGACTTTCGTCTTAAGATTACATACCACTTCCTCAGGAAGGAGTTCCCCAACCCCCCAGCAGTATTATGCCCCCTGAGTTAAGTCTCCTTGAACACTTTATTTTCCCTTTGTTGCACACACCACAAGTCATTAAATAAGATCTGTATTGCTCTTTGTTAAATGTTTGTCTCTCTCTCTAGACTCCAGACATCCTGAAGGTGGAAGTCATGTGGGTTTTGGTGACTGACCTATATCTTGCACCTAGAAGTACCTAGCACATAGGTATTTAGTAAATATTTATTCAATGAATGTTTGAAAACAAGAAGCCCCCTTTTGAGAACAACGAGACCAACGGTGCCCCTTCAATATACTCAAATAATAAAAGCTTAGAAATCAGGGGAAAAAACATTAGGTCATCAGGCGTAATGTTCAGAACATCACTATTCTCAACGTGAAACTGAGACAAGTTTTTCCCTGGCAGTCCCAGTGAGAAAAGAAGTCACTGTACCACTGGGTGTCTGGGTGCCATTTTACAGGTTTCAAAGCACCGTCGTCACGTGTGTGCTCCATGACTGAGTCTCCAAAGAGTTCAGACACAGCTCTCTGTGGTTTGACAAGAATGTTCTAAAGAGTTGTAACAGGTATACACCCATGTATGTTGGAAGTTTTAATAAATGACTTGCAGACTATGATTTTTTTTTTTTTTTTTTTTAGGGATCACTGCATTATATTCCCCTCTATCAACTAGCTGGGAAAAAATCTTAATTTTTTTTTTTATTTTTAAGTTGAAGAGCACTGAAAGAAATACCGATTCTAAATAAAATCTTTCAGGCATTGTAGAATATAGTAGCTCTGTTTTCGCAGAGGACAAAGAAAGGCAATTTGAGAGCTTCCGCTGCATGCCAAAGGGACTTCCCAGGGATTGCTGGTAAATGGATCCACACCTCTAAGGTTCCCAAATAAACTTCTAAACCTTTTCAGAGGTGTGTGACCTTCAGAATCCTGTGAAGGTGAGAGTAGGAGAGAGACTTCTATTTAAACAATACACTCTAATGCTCCGTGATGATTAAAAAACATTTTTAAAAAAAAATTTCTATGATTACATGAAAATTCAAGAGAGAAACCACAGGGTAGGGTCAGAATTTTGGAAATGTTAAAGAAATGGAAGTACTACTTGCCTTTAAGAAAGATCGTGTTCTACCTTTTTAAGGAATATGTTTGGAAGTCTGAGTTTGCAAAAACCCAGTATCTTAGGCCTCCATCAAATTTTATTATTTGTTATTATTTATTATTTATTATTTATTATTAATGTCAAAGGTTTGATACATAGTATCTAATCTGCTTCACATAATCTTATGAAATAGGCAGGCCAAGAATTTTATAAATGAAGAGCATGGGGTTCCTAAAGGTTAAGTTTCTTGATCCACGATCATAACTTAGAAAATGGAAGAACCAAGGGTAGAAGAGTTGGAAGAGTTTCCGATCCTTAAACCACTGCTATTTCGTTTGCACAACATCAAAGGTAAAGACAGAAAGGCCTATCAAATAACCTCCAGAGAATGTAAGGGTCAAAGAAGGACTGATCTATATAAGAGGCCTAACTCTGATCTTGGTGGCAAACATACTTTATTCTATAAAGTCAGCCTTGTTCTTTTAAGTCAGTGGTCTCCAACCATGGATACATATTAGAATGAGTTTTTAAAAAACACTGGTGCCCCAATCCTGCTCCAGAAGTGAAATCAGAATCTAATTAGGATAGGGACAGGCTGGCTCTGAGGGTCAGCCGGAGTTGAAAACTTCTGGTCTAAGTGCTTTTTGTTACCCACTTTCAAATGCCCCAACATGAGATCACTTTCATATTTTCCTATGGAAGGAATATTCACAGTCCGAAGACTAAGAGCCACCGTGGTAAAAAAAAAAAAAAAAAAAAAAAATCAGACTTTTACAAGCTGAATGAGTTTACTACTTCTTGGATATAAGCAGATATTCTTTTTTTTTTTTTTTTTTAAAGATTTTATTTATTTATTTGAGAGAGAGAATGAGAGATAGAGAGCACGAGAGGGAAGAGGGTCAGAGGGAGAAGCAGACTCCCCGCCGAGCAGGGAGCCCGATGTGGGACTCGATCCCGGGACTCCAGGATCATGACCCGAGCCGAAGGCAGTCGCTTAACCAACTGAGCCACCCAGGCGCCCTATAAGCAGATATTCTTAAGTCACAAATCCTACACTTAATAAATACTAACCATTAAAAAAAAACCTAAAAAAAAATTTTTTTTAAAAACAGAGAAAGAACTCCATGTAACTATGAACATATAATTAAGTAATGCTCATTTAAGTATAGCTTAAGTAATAAACCATTTTTAAAATTTCTTCTTCCACTGAATAGTAGCCAATCTTCTAAAATATTTGATTTTTGGCATTTTCCCATAGATAGAAGTAAGAAAAGGCAAATAAAGAAACCAGAAGTACAAGACATCCTATTACACAGGTATCTGAAATCAGTTCAAAGGGGAGTTTCCATTGCTCAAAGGACAAAGGACTTCTCAGAAATATTACTGCAATCATATTGCTCATTTCTTACTCAACCCAGTACTGCTGAAAAGGATGTCGTTCTGTTCCCACCTTAACTGCCTTATGTGTTGTTCCTGTGACAGCTGGAGTCAACAAAAATAAGTCTGGCTTCTGGAAAAACTAAAATGTCAGCCTTCTTTATTTTTAAACTTGCTCTAAAACTCTCCCATATTATCTGATCCTATGAATTTTGCTATAGCTGCATATTAGTTAAAACTGGAGAATGAGTAACTAAGCCTGGTCTAAATTGTATGCTGCAGCAAACATAACAATAAAAACACGTTCTATGCAATTTTTAGCATTTTATAAAAATCTACTCACATTCGAAGGGGGCTTACACTAAAGATTACAAGACCAAAAAAAAAAAAAAAAAAACCAGCAAGAAAATCTAAAATGGATGTAATATTCTAAATAAACCTAGGTGACCTAGCTGGGAAACTACTTAAGATTCCTTTTCTATAAACTTCTAAATTAAGAAGAAATTAATGGCTGCTACAGTAATGATAAGGAAATATTAAAGGCTAGAGAAGAATTTTGATGATGTGTTTCTATTTTCAGGTCAGTGAGCTGTAACCAAATATTACCAGGTGAGTGGTATAAACTTACATGACTTATTGCAGATTGAACAGCCTTTACATAATGGCTTAGTTCCCGATCCATCATGGCCAATTCAACCATTGCCTTGTCCATACTGTATTCACTACTCACTTCAGCTGCAAGAAAAAGAAAGCAATTATTGTTTTCCATTTAAAATGCCATCTCTGGAAAAAGTTGCTCCAATATAATCCTTACTAGTCAATGATCTAAACAATTTTGTAAAAGGTATTGCATATTTTTTAAAGACCTTAACTCAGGCCTGCTTCTCATTCAAAATTCTGAGAATATACACCCAGTAGAAGAAAGCTCAAAGGCTGGAGTGGAAAAAAAAAGTAGACTCAGACTTAGGAGTCTGAAGCTGTGCCACTTAGTTGTGTGACCATAAATCAACCACTACACTTCTCTCAGCCTCCATTTCTTTTTTAGTTTTTCCTTTTCAGTTAAAGCAGCCCGGCCATGTATCTCCACATGCACCTCACGGGATTATTAAAGATCAAATCAGAAAGATTTCCATTTCTAGTACAGTAGCTTATGCGGACCAGTTCTACTGAAAACCAGAAAAACACTCAGTTAAAATAAAGGAAGGACTGGAGGGAGGGAGGGGAGAGGGAGAGAAGAAAGGAAGGGGCAGAGGGAGGGAGGGAGGGAGGAAGGAAGGAAGGAAGGAAACTCCTTAAAAACAAGAGAGTTACAAGACAGAAACAACCAGGGCAAAATCTAGAGAAAACAGAAAAAGCAAGGCAGAGCACAGAACACCACAGTCACATCCCTCCCCCACGCCAGCTGGGTCTCTACTCCTCAGAATACAGAGGAACCCAAGTAATGCCAGCCAGCTCCTCCAGGCTGCAGCAGGGTTGGCCCTGGCCACTGAGCAGAAAAGAGGTAAGAGAGAAAGAAAACAAACCTGTTTCTGAAAACCTATGGCCACAAGCCAGCTGTCCCGGGTTTGCAGGCTGGGTTCCCCTCACCCGAATGGTCCGGGGAACCCAAGCCCTGATCTTGGTGTGAGGTGGTCTCACACTGAAATAGTACCTCCAGGTACTCCCCTCTGAAGAAGACATTTTTATCCCAGGCCTCAATTAATTCATACAAATAATTGTGAAGGAGAATGATCAGATTACAGGGGGAAAAAAATAAAACAAAATCAACAGAAAAACCTTACAAACCTTAAAAAACACAAGAAAACAAGACACCAAGAGTAAGAATCAGCAGAAACACATCTACAAATGTTTCAGATATTGGAATTATCTATCAGTTAGAGTATGAAACAATTATGCTTACTACGTTTAAAAAATTAAAATACCCTTGCGTAACAGTACACTACAGAGTGACTAGCAGATTGGAAAAGCAAAGAAATGTTCTTAAGTGCTTTTAAACTTTTTTTCAAGTTCTAAGTATAGGGGAAGATCAAGAACACAAAATAATACAAATTTTAATATTAAAAAAGCTGAATGAAAAGAATTTAGTAAAGCTGACTTAGTCACATTTGGGAATGCACACACTCAAAGATTCTCCATTCAAATACCTTAGCTCAGACAAATGTCAGGATTTCTCTTGTCTACTCTACAGAACAATAGGACAGATAATCCCAAAGTCAAGAAATAATATATGCACTTACGTTTGGCTTTTGAAAGTGATTGTCCTAGACTTTAAAATTATGTTTCAATTTTACAATAGTCAATTATAAACACATTTCAGAAAATATCTCCTGGATTAACTTGCTTCTGGTAGAATGTCTCTTGGCTTATATCACCCAGACTTCACAGACTGTATATATATATCCCAATATAAGGTCTTTTGTTTTTGAGGAGGGGGAGGGGGGTAGTACTTACATAAGAAAAGTCCGTATTTACATTCCCAAAATTAAATACATTTTTAACAAAATAGTGTGTGAGAAAGGACCCAAGTCATATTACAAATAAAACTGTCAGATCATCAATTACAGGTCAATGTTGTGAAAATGTCCAAATGTTAAAAAGGGAGACAAACTGTTTAGGTGTTGCTGATACCAACATGTATCTGCTATGCGTACAGCAACTGTTCGTTAAAAATCATATTAATTACTTGATGATCAGAAAGAGAATTTTAAGCAATTTTATATCCTAATATGATGGTTTGTGACTTACATAAAGGCAGGCATTTTACTGTATTTGATTACTCTGTGGAAATCGATATAATGTTGGCAATCTCCCTCTGGAATTAAATGAGTTTATTTTTGAAAGCACATAAAAATGTGCTTTTGACATTAAAAATGCTATGAAAAGAGTTTGCAAAATAAAACAAATGGGATCATGGTTCTCATTATCAAGGTCCCAAGGATGCTAGCAAGACATGAACCAGACGGCAATTTCAAATTACAAGGCCAAGGAGACCTTGCCTGCAAAGGAGAAAATGAGTGATGGCTGGGTCAGGTTTGATGGCATGAAGCCTAAGGCAAGAATCTTTGGAAGTCATCTGGGGCTTCCTGCAGCCTCAGCAAAGGCTCCAGGGCCCAAGAATGTTGGGACAGGCTGAAGGACCTAAGTGATGAATAGTGCAGCCAGAGGCAAGAGGGAAAACACCAGAAAAGATCAGGAAGCTAGTCCTGAGAGGAACTGACATTCACGCCCCACCTGGATGTGAGCTAGGTCAGATCACTTCTGGCTAAAGTCAGTGTCTCCGTCCACCAGAGAGGAGGGCTGGAGACCAGAGACCTATGAACTAGAAGGAGTCCCACAGCAAAAGGAATCTGGAAGAAAGACCATGAGAACGTACCTATCAAGTAGCAACCTTACATTTTAAGATTCTTTTGGTGATTCTTGCTGTTCTTCTTGTTAACCTTTATTTCCCTATTGCAATAATAATCTCTCTTAAAACCACGATTTGTATTCATGTTTCAGAAACACCTGGCTACGGAAGGCATAGGGAATCTGTGTCCTGCCCTACTAAACAATCAAGGTGAGGGAAGAGCATGGTGTTGCATGAAAAAGGCAAACAGGCCAAATAAATCCCCAAAGGATTCAAGAGGAACTGGGAATGAACACAGACAGGGAGTTGGCTTTTGACTAAAAAGTGAACTGGGGATGGGGTGGGTGTGGAGGGACTGACCAGCCAAAGTTTCCTTGCCCCTTTACTGCCCAATATATAATCCCACTACCAAAATTCCCCCTCTTATGGGAAAGACTTTCTAAAAATCTACACCAAACTAAATCCTACACATCCTTCAAGGGCTGAGCTCAAGCCCTACCTGCTTTTAAACCATGCCAGCCCGGAAAGATCTCTCCTCCTTTCCTTAATTTATCTTAACAACTATACTTGATACTTTGGCACTTTCAACCATAAACATTCTTATCTTCTTCTGTGCATTTGTCTCATTTCTCCAAAGAGATTTTAACCCATTTGAGGGCAAGAATGATGCTTTAGTGTTCTTGGGAACTAATGAAGAATTAACAGCATCTCTTCCTTCAATGTTCTCACATGGCATTATTTAATAAATCTGAAAATTAAAAACCTTCACCAAACTATAAATTGTCCTGCCTCAGAGATCTATTGAATTAAAGTGTAATGAAGACATTTGATATAAACTCACTCGCCCATTATATTTTCATGGAGATTTTTCCATCGGAAAAAGCTTGGCTACCAGCACGTGGGGGGCAAGGGAGGTGGAGGAAGAGAAGTACACAAATAATGTTAATATTCACAAAATGACAATCCCAGAGAAGAAATTACTACTGTACCACAAAAGCCTGGCATTACAGGAGATTGGTGCAGCTGATAAAGCATGAAGAGCAGTAACGATGATGAAAAATACGTAACAATAATAGCTGTAGCTAATAATTAGTAAGTGCTTTATTATGTGCCAAGACTATACTGAGCACACCATTTACTGTAAACCTCACAGCAACTCTTTTATCTGCACTTTACCAACGAGAAAAGTGAAAAACTGAGCAGCTGAAGGAACCTGCTCAGCACCACAGACGTAGTGAGGGGCACAGGGAGGCTGCCAAGTCAGGCTTTCCAGCAGCAGAGTTTGCACACTTGCCTGCCTCTGCTGACAGGTGCATAACCATGAGGAGAAGGACAAGCACCTCCAACTCCTCCATGAGTATCCAGGGAACAAACCCTCACTGGGGAGAAAGTCTTGGCCCCCAGCCTCATCATTTCAGCCCCTTGGTGGTCCATTCCAAGTAAGACACCAGGCAATGTCACGCAACTGCTACAGACCTGGTCCCATAAAAACTCTTCCAAATTCCTTACATCGAGGAAACTCGTAACAAAAAGAAAACGATTCTCCCCTTTTAGAAGACTACTAAATTTTAATGGTGGTGAAGAGAGCAACTTGTTTTGTTTTTTTTAAGATTTTATTTATTTATTTGACACAGACAGAAACAGTGAGAGAGGGAACACAAGCAGGGGGAGTGGGAGAGGGAGAAGCAGGCTTCCCACTGAGCAGGGAGCCCGATGCGGGGCTCGATCCCAGGACCCTGGGATCATGACCTGAGCCGAAGGCAGACGCTTAGCGACTGAGCCACCCAGGCGCCCCAAAAGAGTGACTTTTCACATCAGCAAGGCCAGCTGGAGGGCCTGTAAAAGCAACCAAGTCGCCCACCGCATGCCAAGAGGTAAGGAAAGGGACTCTGGCTGCTAGGAAATCAAACCCGCAGCAGAGACACATTCAAGGGGAAGTCTTCTAGTAGCAGAGATCCTTCTGAGTGCAGCCAGTATCGAAACCATTCCTATCATCTATGCCTCCGACTGCCTCCCCCTGGCCAAATGGGGTCTGGGGAATCTAGGAATATTCACATTTCTTCGATGTGCCATTCAATGAGCATTTATTAAAATCAACCTTCGCTTGTATTAATCAAATGAACCTAAGTGATATACTTGAACATTCCTCTATAAGCCAATAACTACATAGGGAAGTCTCATTGAGAGCTTGGGGAGTCTGCAAGGCCTGTGTAACAACACATCTGGTGCATTAATTAGGAAACTGTTCCAAGAAGTTAGCACAAGAACTCGCTTCAATATAACCCCCCGCCCCGCTCCAGCAAATCAAGTCCAGAGGGCACAGATAATCTCCGATTTACAGTATAAAATTATAACTGTTTCTGTAAGTATGTCGGTAGCAGGGCTGTCC